CGGCATTCCCTTCTAAACATGGTGAGAATGATGCCACTATCTCTAAACCCATCTGGTGGCTGAGTCAGCCTCTCAGTGAGAGCGTGTGATTTGTCCCACACTCCTACTCCTCTCCACCACTCACCCCCAAAATATAAAATAAAAAACACAAATAAAAAGTAAAAGAGCATATAGAGAAGAGAGAGAGAGAGAGAGAGGATAAGGACAAAACATACCCCAGCTTTTGGCTTCTGAATGAGCACATCATCAAGGGAAAACCCAGCAGAATCTAAAAACACAGGAAATGGCTTCTTGGAGAAAAGCATACACAAAGTCAAAAGCCTCAACAGTTCATACAGCTCCACAATTATGTCATCCCCTTTGAGCTGCACACAATCACTCCCAGCATACACACTTGCAACTGCCAAATTACCCTGCAAAATGTAACCCATTACTCCCAAAGCCACAATCCCCCAAAAACTTGCACATTTCCACATACCCAGAAGCAGAAAAACACTCAATTTCACTTGAAACCACAATTTAACTAAGAACTTCATAGTTTATCACCTGTTTGCGCATGAAGTAGTTGATGCCAAAGGCCAAATCTCCGATGGGCCACTTCCCGAGGGTCTCGGAATACGTGAACCTCAAAGTCTCCGACAGCGTCACGATCGACTCCAGCAGCGTCGCCGGCGCCTGCGCCGGCCGCCGGGAAAGTCTCTTCCGGCGAACCGATCTGCTGGATTTCGACAGGTCGCCACCGGCGACGTGATCCTCATCATCGTCCTCCGCCTTCTTCCCCAGCCGCCGGCTCAGGACGTAGTACAGCATCACCGCCGCACCGGCCGCCGTCGCCATTGTCCCCGCCGCCATACGGTGCCGGAGATCAGCCAGGTGCCTCAAGAATCGAAGAACCGCGTAAAATGAGGGAAATGGGGACGAATTTGTTTGGGGGAAATAATGGGGTTTGAAAAAAGATAATAAATTTGGGGTTTTGGGTGTGAAATCTGAAACTGAACAGAGGAACAGAGGAGAAGGTGGTCCTTCTCTTTATGGGGAGGGTTACCCACTTGGGAACACATCATCCGAAACACACAAGAAGCTTTGTTCACTGTTTTCAACGTAATTACTATAATGCCCTTGTTTATTTGGGATACTTGGACATAATGGAAGGGTAGGTTGGGTAGGGCGAAGCATTATGATATGATGAGTGGGAGGGTGGGCACGTTAGACTCTTGAGTCTTGAGGTTAAAATCGAATACAGTAACAAATTATATGTTTCTTTAATTCGATAACACTTTAAAACCGTTGGGTTTTCTTTTGAATTTTGTCAAAGTCTATCATGATGATTGAATTAATTCTCGAAGATTTCGATTTGAAGTGATTAATGTTGAAAATAATTTATGTATCGGAATTCGGAAATGATATTTTAAAAGTGTAGTCAATAAAGATAAGAATCCGCGATATTGTTTTAATTTAACTAATATGATATTGTTTCAAGAGATTTGGTTCATGTATAAGGGTTGATTGTAACTTAAGTGTGTTTAAAATTTATTAAAAAAATAAAATGAGTAGTTTTAGAAAATTGTAAATTTAATTAATCTTGTGGTGTGTTTGGATGAGAAATTTTATAATTAAAAAATTAATTTAGATCTATTTTTTTTAATTTATTATTTTAAAAGTCAATAATTTTATTACATATAACAATTTATAACTAAAATAGTATAAAATATTTTAAAATTTTAGTTAATAAAAATATGAATCAACTAAGCATTAAAAAGATTATAAATTAATTGACACGATATTATTTTAATTTAACTATATGATATTGTTTTGATTTAATAAGTAATTTTGAAAAAAAAAATTGTTTCTAATAGAGAATAATCATAGTCTATGTGAAAATAAATGTAATTAAAAGTAATATTAAAAAATAAAGTGAGTAGCTTTAGAAAATGGTGAATTTAATTAATTTTCGAGTTTAATATTATTAATTTATTAGTGTAATAATAATATTAAATTAACTACAATTCAATTTGGATACAATTTATAACTAAAAATAGTATAAAATATGTTACATTAATTATATTGTTAATTTTATTTACCTTCAAATCTAAAAGTATCCAGTTTTAAAATAACTTAGTAACAAAGAAAAAAGTATTCCCTTTTTATCCAAATCAGTCAAGTTGACCGCAAAAATATTTTTGGAAAAACATTAATTGTGTTGCCCCATTTTTTTTCCAACACAAACCTCGTGTATCTAAACACATCAGAAAATTCTTTTGTGATTATATATATATATATAACAAAAGGAAACATCAAATTGGTTCATTGTACTTTGATATGAAACAAAATGAAATGAAACTCGCTGAGCGGCGTTCAAAGGGCATGCTTACCAAAGCTGAAACACAAGCGAAGTATGGATGGTGATTTGGGACGATGATCTTGGAAGTATTCCCATCGAAAGGTGGATGGCAAAGCGGAAGTCTTCATATTTAGCTGCAGTCCTTGTGTTTGTCAAAAGATGTGTACATTTGATCCGTACTCCAGTGCAAATTATGTATTGCTATCCTTTTAGTCATTAGACAGTTTAATATTTTACACTACAATTTTTTTCCTTTTTTATGATGAAAAAAACATATATATATATATATATATATATATATATATATATAAATCTAATCAACCATTTTAATAAAGTTTTATTCAAATTAACGATTAAAAGATTTATTTTTTAGAGTTAACTTTACCTGAGACAATTGTTGTTCTTGAATAAAATATCTAGTGTTAGACACTTACATAAATGACCGAGTAAAAACATTTTTTAAAAGTTTTACAAAGTAACAGCAATTGTAATTTATTAATATTATTAAAAAAATTTAAAAGGTATGATGAATACAATTTATTAAATACTTAAAATATAAATGCACTCTTTATTAGTATTTAAAAGTGAATTTTAATTGTAATATTTTGTTATCATAAAAAACCTGAATTATAATATTTTAGAATGTGTAAGAGAAATAGAAGGAGGGGTGGGTCCGCGGTTCGGGGAATGCGGTGCAATAACATTGGCTGGTGGCTGGATCCAACCCAACATCTATAATTTTTGTTCATTTATCCCTACATTAGTGCTACTTTCAAAGAAATAAAATATTGAATGTGACTGATAATAGAATTGTCAATTTCATCCATGTCTAACTCATGTAATAGTTTTATTTATTTTACTCCCTCGTAAAGAAAGTGTCTCATCTTAAATAAAAGATATTTTTTAATCAAGTTTTTTTAATTAAGTTGTAAGACCCGCTTCTTCTTCCTCTTTTTTCTCAACACT